AATGTCCTGACCATTAAAAAAATTTTCACACCACCCCTCATTTCAACTTTCCCCACCTCCACCCCCAAAACTCGTGTCTGACTCGAACTCGAATTCTGAGGTTCGAGTTCGATCGAGCACAAACTTCAAACTTCGAGTTCAAGTCAAGTTCGAGTTTTGGAGATCGTGTTCGAATTCAAGCGAGATTCGAGCGCGAGTCCAAACTTGGAGTCGATCTTGATCGTATCGAGTTCAAACGATTTGGCTTTGGTACATATCTACTATAAAGAACTATGTACTATTTAAAGCAGTTGATGATCTGTGCAGAGGTAAGAAATTGGGAAAGCGAGTGGATTGGGGTTTAGTCTTGATGGATTCTGCATTTCTTGTTTGATTTCATAGTATAAATCCAAAGGTGTGAGCAACTGTCTTCTTCTGCTCGGTCTTGACAAACTGCTGTTCTCTCTAGATAATTTTATGTCCTCGACTTTGGCTTAGACAGATATCTTCTTGTCTTAAATCACCACATTCTCAAATTCCTACACAAAATGGCGCGAGAGTATGCCAACAAACAACCTTCGGGCTTCAAGAACCATGTCGAAAAAGTCACGATTGTGGGGGTAAGTTGGGATCGCGCTCATGGTCAAGTTCTGGTCTAAATTTGATAACAGGGAGGTGGTCAAGTCGGCAAATTCATCGTAGATGAACTGCTCAAAATCGGGAAGCACAAAATCACTGTACTTACTCGAGAAGATAGTACAAGCAAAATGCCGACCGGCGTAGAAGTCAAGAAAGTTAATTACAATAACCCGTCATCGCTCGTCGAGGCCCTTAAAGACCAAGAGGTCCTCGTTATTACAATGGCAGCTACTGCACCGAAGGAACAGCAGACCAAGCTCATCGAGGCTGCAGCAGCCGCAAACGTACCATGGGTCTTACCAAACGAGTTCGGAGGTGACCCTACCGAAGTGGAAATGCAAAAGGACAACTTGCTTGGTGAGGCGAAGGCTAAATATCGCGATCACATAGAAAAGATGGGCAAGAGTTCCTGGATCGGCATCATCTGCAATTACTGGTACGAATTCAGCCTGGGTGGTGGTAGCTCACGGTATGGCTTTGACTTTAAAAATCGCACTGTTACTTTCTTTGATGATGGCAACACTCGCATTAACACCAGCACCTGGCCTCAGACTGGCCGGGCAGTCGCCAATCTGCTTAGCTTAAAGGTGCTTCCGGACGATGCGAATGACAAGAGTGCATGTCTGAACGATTTCAGAAACAAGTTTGTATACGTCTCGTCTTTCAACGTCAGCCAGAAAGATATGCTGGATTCTGTTATGCGCGTGACCGGCACCAGTTTGAAAGACTGGAAAGTGAACTACGAGCCGGTCAAGGAGCGCTATAAGGCCGGAATGGAGGAGTTCCGCAATGGCAACATGCTCGGCTTTGCCAAATTACTTTACTCGAGGTCGTTTTATCCGGATAAGAGTGGCAATTATGAAGCGACAAAGGGCCTACACAATGACCTTCTAGGTCTGCCTAAGGAGGACTTGGACGAATACACGAAGATTGCTGTTCAAATGGCGGAGAAGAGTGACTGATTGCAAGAATATTATGCCGCACTTGTTCTTTGATACAGTCCATAAGAACACTCATCAATAAACGTTCAAAACTTGATTTTCTCGCCCAGCGATCGGCTTTAAACCTTTGCATTTACGTTTTTGAACTCCATGCATTTATCTTCTTTTTGTCAAGCGTGTGTTTATAGGTAGTATGAAAAACAAGACTATTTGCTTATTTGTAGAATATCTTTCACGTTAGAGTGAGGATTTGGGTCAAATTACCACAAAACAAATGTTTTTCGCTATTAGTGATATAGATTATCAAGTGACCAGTATTAGGAGAATGATTCAAGAATAATCAGTACAAAATACTTAGAATCTTTCCGAAGAAAGACAATCACTAGAAAGAGTAAGTCAGATTACCGCAAAACAAGTGTTTTTCACTATTATTGATATAACGGGTGGCGTATAATGAATGAGCCTCTCAGTATTTTGCATATACAGGGCGGCCCAGAAGTCGCTGTACTGTATAAAAATTGAATATCTTCACTATGACTCTTTCGAACGGGCTGAATTTTTTATTGCTGATAGAAGAGTAGTCATAGTCCGTTTCCTATAGTGTAAAACTGGTAAGAATCATTTGAAAGTATAAATGATGACTTCAACGAAGATTCTGCTCCAATTTGCGTAGTATAGATTTTTTTCTGCTGCACCTGTTGGCCAGTAGTATTTTCAGTTTTTGTTCGACATATATCATGCGATTCCACGCCATTTGTTCACTCTGGTTCGTCATCAGTTTGACTGTTGGTAGTTGGGATGATTGCTTCAAATCTTCGTTAATGCGAGCTATTTCTCGTTCTAATCTTGTTAAATCTTGCTTAAGAATACCTTTTGTTTCTCGCAAAATGTCTAATTCTTTTGCAAAGTCTGAAATTGATTTTTTATCTCTTCTTGTTTGGACTTTATGAGTACCAACACCTCTTTTCGAACCTCGTCAGCAGCCTGGTGCACCTTTTGAATAGTTTGTTGTTCCCATGTATCAATTTGTGAAAGTATCAATATATCAGGTCGATTATGCAGAAGGAGTACCTTCTATTATCAGGAGATGCAATTCCGGGTTCAGGTTGTGCTGATTCCGAATATGCGCTTTGGATAGGGTAATATTGCACGTCTGTACATAGAAATAAGAATCTTTGCAGATGTGTCATATTTGACGGTGTTTTTTGTGAATGTTCGTAAGTTAACTTACTCATCGAAGCTCATTTGTCGATTTTTGCTCAAATTTCCGCCTGAATGCCCACTGTGCAGTCATAAGTTACGTACAGTTCTATTTTTTTTAATTTTTCATTCAATGTCAAGCGATTAGCACTATAAAGATTGCTTCTTGAAAATTTTGCGGATATTGATATAATTTTAATGTAAAATAGCCTTCTTTTATATATTGTTTCTATGGTATGGCCACAGAGGATTTTACAAGTCATCGTACAATATTAGTGAACGGATTAGAAAAATTGACTGCAAGCCGGAATGAACTCCAGGAGAAAATAAATAATGCTAATTTAGACAATCGACCTGATATATTGATACTTTCACAAATTGATACATGGGAACAA